GGAAATGCCTCTACCATGTACTGTACTAAGTCAGAGAAAGCTATTTTCTTTGTCTTTTCCTGAAGTATATTTCCAGGAATGAAGTTTACCTATGATTGCGTTTGGTCCTCAGTAGCTGATGCGTAACATGGCTTGTTTTATTCCATTATTGCTAATGTGAGGTGTTTGAAGCTGTTGCTAACAAGATAAATGTCTACAGTATAAAATCCTGATGAAACTATTTACAGTATTTATGAAACAAAGCTGCATTACTAATGAGAAAGTATATTGTAAACTGATCTGTTGCTGACAAAGCCAATCCCTTGGAAGAATAAGGCATTGAGATTCAGTTTCCTGTTTGTTTAGCAAGGAATGTCTATTTCTTTTGACTATTCACATGGTCAAAATAAGGATCAAACAATGTTTACAAAGGTTTATTCTGTAATTAGAGAGTCTCAGTTTGACTTAAATGTGCAAGAAGATCTCAAAGGTTCCTGCTTTCTACGTTAGTTTCGTATACATGCTTGCTACATTTTCATGCCCAAAAGTCAAACTTCTAGACTTACTACCTAAGGATCTTGGAACACTGTACTAAACCTAGTAATACTAACATATAGGAAAAATCAGGCTCCATCAAGAGAGTGATAATCAGAATACAATAACATATAGATAAAAACAGGATCCATCAAGAGATAAATAGAATACAATCAGTATAACTTTTGCTTAGTTATCAAGCATTTCATATCTAATTTAATACTTAATTAATTATAATATTTAATCTGAGTGAATGTTTTGCTCAGTTGTAGGTGTGTTGTATATATTTTACTTAGGTACACATGTATAATTTGGTGAAGTAACCTTCAGGTTTATATTATGAACACAGCTAGTTAATACTACATTAAATAATATAATAATATTAAATTTAGCTAACCTTCATATTTATAAAATAATTATAACTGCATAGCTTTATTTCAAATATTCACTCAACTACACAGTAAATGACAGTGAAATATTCCAACCTTGTAGACACACATAGAGTCACACAATTTTTTCCATGAATTACCAGGTTCCTAGAGACAAATGAAAGGGTTAGTTGAAGGGTTCACTCCTCTTAGAAGACAGGAGGAAAACAGTGGCTTCAGCTACTGCCACAAAAGGCTTAAAACTAATCAGTTGTTTGAGACATGATGATCCCTGTTCTATGCTTCATCTTCTTTCCTAGAATTGTTTCTCTGACTGTTGTCCTGACAGTCACATCCAAATTCCTGTTTTGCCACTACACAATATAGAGGCAGATCTGTTACCTCAGTGTTCCTAAGTGAACGTTGAAACAGTTCTGCTGGAATCAACTTCTCCCTCCATGAGTGACTGTTTGTTGATACTACCTAAGCATTTTCTGTTGTGTGACATCAGTTGTTTCTCAGTTTCCTTCTGAGAAACTGGGTTTAATGTATTTGTTCTGTCATGTCATTATAAACAAAAACACAGAACAGCTTTATTCTTTACTTTGATGTTTGAAAATTTTTAAAGCCACAAAAATATTGAAGAATAATATCATAAACACTCTGTAATTTTGAATTAACTAGTAGCAATTTGTCATGTGTATGAATCCTTCATGTGTATGTGCATGTATTAAACAAATATAAACATAGATACATAATCATCTTCTCCCTCTTTCTCTACCCCTATAAACCATTGGACTGCTTGCTCAATCATCATAAAGAGTGATCGAGAAATATTCTTGAATATTGCACTATACTAAAGCTATTCTGAAGTGTTTAAGATGAACATAATATTATTTAATATATAGTCTATATGTTACATATAAGGTTATCTCAATAATATTCTATGTATTGCATTTTTCCAGTCTAAGAATGAGACATATCACAGAGTTCCTTCAAACTAGAAAAGGGTTAACACACATAAAAATTTAGAGACTTACAGCATGAACAGTGCCTGAACAGATCCAAGCCAAATGACGTCCCAGGACGGAGAGGGGACAAGACATGAACTACCATCTCCATTTCCAAGTGTCACCTTCTCATAAAGGAAAAATTAGTTCTCTTAATGGAATTTCACTGGGTATACAAACCACTCTTGAGGTCAGGCCCTATGCCCAGCAGTAGAAGGACAACACAAAACCAACTCAGTGGTATTTTTGTCTCCATAATGCTTTGCTTGGGCTCCATTTATTTGTTTGCTTGTTGCTGCTTTTTCTTTTTTAAAATTTGTTTCTTGAGACAGTTTCTCTATGTAGAATTGGCTGTCCTGGAACTCAGTCTGTAGCCTCAAACTTACAGAGATTTACCTGCTCTGCTTCTTGAGTGCTGGGATTAAAGGCATGAACCACTATCACCTGGATCCAACTTTGAATTCTATAGATTGTGTGTGTGCTTGTGTGTGTGTGTTTCAGCATGTCTGTGAGTTTCTTGTGCTTTTTCTTTTTCTGTTTGCTCTGATTTATTCTTTGTTTATTCTTTTATTTGCCATTGTTTTTCTAAAAAAAAGAAAGAAAAAATGCAGAGTTGACTGGATGGTGAATAGTGTAAGATCTTGGAGGAGATGAGAAAGAAGAAACTGAGCAGAATATATTGTAAGAAAAGAAAATATTATTGATGTGAAAGAACTTTTATAAAATAATGAGCCAAAGACCCAGCCTTGATTTATTTCTGTAATAAATTTTAGCTTGACCCATCTCACCAATTTTTCATATCCCCTATAATAATGATGTTTTTATTTATCTGTTTGTTGGTTGTTTGTTTGAGCCAGGATTTCTCTATATTGGCTGGCTGGCCTGGAACTTGAGTTGTAGACCAATCTGGCCTTGAAATCAGGGTTGCACCTGGTCCTGTCTCCTGAATACTGGGACTAAGGCATGCACATTATGCCTGGGATGATACTAAAATTTTTAATTTTTTCATGCATGTTTTGATCTGCCACGGACCGGCTCAGGGGAGCCACTCAGACCATGGGAGAAGCAGGGTCTTGGTAACAGGAAGGCACAAGTTCGGCGAATGACAGACAGACACAACATACAAGAGAGTGGTTGGAATCTGCTGCAATTTTACTGAATTCATGTTTTCATTATATAGCATTCAAACAAAGAACAAATCAGAAGGTCATGTATCATTGGTTGGCACAGTATGAAAGCTTCTTTTAGTCACATCAGCAATATTTAAGAAAAGTACATTATCAGGAACAGGTGTTAGACATAAAGCATCCTTAGAAGAGGAAATCTTGTCCTTGGGAATGTAAACCTCAGACAAGTGGTTTCATCTTATGAATAGAAAGTTTCTGTCTCATTATTGCTATCATGGCCCTTCCTCTTCCTAACCTTTTATTTCATCTAGTGACCAAATATACCTAATCAGTTCTCTGCACCTGTTGAAATATACTTTTTAGTACCTTCTTATACAGCAGACATCATGGGGGTTGGGATCTAGCAAGCCTATCCATAAAGTTCAAAGTATAATATAACAGTCTTTGTCCATCAATATTAACCCATCTATTCCCTTGCTCATCATACACCCTATGTATGACAAAGGTTCTGCTGTAGTCTTATACATTCCCACATTCCCATACTGTGTTTCCTTATGCCAGAGCTGTCTTGTATATATATATTAGCATTATTATAAAAGAGATTGTGTAAAGCTCATATCCCGCATAGCCAGCTAATCGAGAAACCCGTCTATGCCTCAGCTGTGGCTAATACCAGGCTGTTTGCCATTGACCTCCAGGAAGCCTAGTCCCATGGTACACGTAGCTCCCGTCCGGAATAATGACATATGTCATGTCACACAGACGACACTGGAGTTGGTGTGGCATTGATCCACTGTGTCCTAAAATTTGATAGTATTGTATCCTACTTTGTTAGATTATTTTTAACCAATGTTAAATATTACTGACATAAATATTATGTTTCTGATAGTATGTGGCTTTGTAAAACCAAAGGTTTATTATGATTTTCATAGGAGTAGAATATAGTTTTATTTACTTTGTTCCATAAAGGAACATATCAAACATTAAAGAAAACGAATATTCTTTATGGCAATGTGTTGATATTTGTAATATCTTTAGAAGCTAATTATAGAATTACTACATACTACCATATGGTTGAATTTTCTTCTTCTTTGATAGAATATCAATATGAAATAAAATGGGACTTGGTTTTCATTTCATCAAATAAAGAAATTGATCCAGATATTTTTTTTCAGTTTCACTTAGTTCTCAAACTCTATAAGTCTATGAATGAGACATCTCTTTAATTTTTTTAAAAATGAAATATATTTGAGTAAGCATAAAATAATGGAGCAAAATATCTTAAAATTGTCATTCTTTTTTATAAATCAACATTAAACATACTGACTGCAATTATTTATTTGCAGCTTTAGAATTTATATATCTCAGTTACATATGCTAACTCAAAATAATGGATAAGTTGTTAGGGTCACCTTTATTGCTCTTGAGAGTAACACATTTGTATAGTTATGTTCTAGAGATTGGCTTAAAAAGTAAAGTGTCTGGTGTAGTGTTCATTTTAACAAAATTAGCAGAAAATAAAATATTGTTTTTGTTAATTTTATAAAAAGTAAATATATAGGTTCTGATCTATTAGATAGGCATTCTATCGCTGAATCACTCACTTTGTAGTATATTTTGCTTAGTTTTATTTCATTATATCAGTCTAGAAATGAAATTATTTACTAAATATATTTACATTATTAGAGTTTACTGAGGACTTTCTTTGAAACTGGGTCCCACTATGTAACCCTACCTGGCCTAGAACTCAGTATATATAATAAGCAGGCCTAGAACTCAGTATATATGATAAACATGCCTTATGTTTATAGAGCTTCACTCACACCTGCTTCCTGAGTGCTGGAAAGAAAGGCATACGCACTATATTTGGCTCACATTTTAAAATCCACTACACACCTTTCATCCAATGTAAGGATTTAAAATGCTGAGGAATACGGAGTTGAAATGATGATATATGGCTGTTGTTGTTGTTGTTGCTACAGGAAGCCCTGATCATGGCAAGCATGGACCACCCACACCTAGTTCGCCTACTGGGAGTGTGCCTGAGCCCAACGATCCAGCTGGTTACCCAGCTGATGCCCCATGGCTGCCTGCTGGACTATGTCCATGAACATAAGGATAACATAGGATCGCAGCTGCTGTTGAACTGGTGTGTCCAGATTGCTAAGGTAAGTGCAGTCATTTGCTGTGAAAATGATATATGGGAGTTTATCTCCTGATCTAGAAGAATCTGATGATTGAAATTATGCCATGACTTTTAAGCTTTGAATATCAATAAATTCTATCGCTATGTTAAATGACATATTATTGTAAGTACTACAATGTAGACAATGGGTTGAGCATATAATCTATTCATATATATTTTGTGGATTATTTTTCTAAGGTATCAATATTAGATTGACTAGGTGCCAAAACACATAGCACACTAGTCAGGAGGAATAATTGTTGTGCCGGACTTGTTTGACATTTTAAAAAAGGTAGTCAAGTTTACAAACAAAAGCAAGAAAGTAAAGATTCAATGTCATAACTGTTAAGCTTTATTTGGTGTTATTAAAATAGTCTATAGAATTATCAGCATTATAAATGATAGCCTCAGTACTAAGCACCACTATACAATGAGTCATCACACCTGTCACTTCACAGCCTTAAGTTTTGTTGCTTCTGTTGCTGCATCTGGGAACCCACTGTTGAGTATAGGCCAAGATTCTTCATAATTCTGAGACCTTTCTCAGAACTGTGAAAGTTTGTTTTTCGGTTTTGTTTCTGGTGCTCTACTAATATGCAATTTAATCAGAAGAAAAATCCCTGGTCTTTCATGTTGGATTATAAACCGCTGGTTTTAGTGGAGGGGATAATTGTCAAGCAGTGTTTATCAGTGGTGGGGCTGGAGAGACAGATCAACTGTTAAGAGCCCTGGCTGCTCTTCTGAGGACCTGAGTTGCATTTCCAGCACCCACACGGCTACTCAAGTTTATAACTCCAGATCCAGTAGATCTGTTACTCTCTTCTGGCCTGTAAGAACACTGCATGCATTTGGGCAACAGACATACATGCAGACAAAATACTTGGACATATAAAATATTAAATATTGAAAGGAACAGAGTCACTACTCCTCACAATTATGTGTGTGTGAGTGAGTGTGTGTACACATATATATTTTTTCAGCCATCCTGATACCTATCAGTCACTTTTGCATAGATGCAACCAAAATACTTGAGAAAAAAAACTTTTAAAAAGGAAAGACATATTTTGACCAGCAGTTTCTGAGATTCTGCAGTTGTTGGTTCCATGGGTTCTGGGCCAGTTCTATATTGGAGCTTGAATGGTGGTAGGAGCATTTGCAAGAGGAGGCTCTTCACCTCATGATGGACAGGAAGCAGTGAGATAGAAAGGCACTAGAGACCAGGTGTAGCCTTAAAGAAATGCACTGAACGGTTAACTTTCTCTAGGTGACCCAACCCCCTTAGGTTTCAATAACTTTCAACATGGAATCAACTGGAGACCAAAGATTCAGCACACAAACCCCTAAGGGGGCATTTAATAGTCTAATTAACATCTTTCAAGGCGATTTTAAGATTAGAATTTTTTTTTTCAAAAAAGTGATAGAATTAAAAGACATGATATTCCTTTAATGATTAAAATTAATTCATGATTTGTTTAACTGTTGCAAGTAAGGTTTCCATTGATGTGATAAAGCACCCTGGCTAACAATTTTGGGAAAAAGGGGTTTGCTTCACGACACAACTTATACGTCCCTCACTGAGGACACAAGGGTAGCTACCCAGAGGGGGGCACTGGAGCAGGGGCCATGAATGAGGCCTGCGTTTTCAGTCATTTTTGTCATTCCTCCTGGATTCCGCAGTTGCCTTTCTTAGAGAGCACAGGACCACCTATCCATGAGTGAAACCACTCACAGTGAGCTTCACTCCCGCCCATCAACCATCAATCAAGAAAATATCCTACAAACTATTCCACCAACCAGCTGCTCATGATAGTTTTCTCTGTTGAGGTTTCTTCTTCTCAAATGACTCTAGCAAGAGTCAAATTGGCATAAAACCAGCCAAAACACTTAACCCACACACTTTAGATTCAGTTTTGATGACAGATTCTTTCACTAATATTTTTTTTTCTTTTAATTGATTCCAGCAGATATGTCTCCTGAGAAAACTTGCATACTTCGGAAGTTGCATGATTTCTAGACAAGTTTAGAAATTACACAATTGATTTTTATTTACCATTCTTTGTTTATCTCATTATGTTTTCTTTTTATCTTCTTTCTGTTTGTTTATTTTATTTTATTTTTTTTGTTTTTTAAGACAGGGTTTCTCTGTAGCTCTGGAGCCTATCCTCGAACTCACTGTGTAGACCAAGCTGGCCTCGAATTCACAGAGATCCACCTGCCTCTGGCTCCAAGTGCTGGAATTTTAAGGCATGTGCCACCATTGCCCAGCTTATCTAATTGCTTTTTATGTGCATATAATGTTTCTAATTAAAGCTCATGAAGTCTGATTTTCTGTCTTCCATGAGAAATGGTATTTGAGCTTTTCTTCAATTTTCTTTGTGGAGTGAGTTGGCGGGAGGAGAAACAGAAGGAAGGCATACCTCTCTTCATTCAAGATAATGGGGAAGGAAATTAGAGTTCTGGCTGAAAAAAAAATCCATTCCTTCTCTGTCTGTACATAGACGTTATCTTCCCAAGAATTAATTGTATACAGTAACAATGACTTTAATTTCATTCTTTACTCTTTTCCATTTTTCTCCAACACAAACTATATGGAGTGACAGGAGACTAACTTCTCCTTGATCCAGCCATTTAATTTTATATGAGTAAAAATGAACTTCAAGTCTGGAGGTCTGATACAAGTAAACGCTCCCACTGGTGTTTGACATTTCTGAGGTCTTTTATTTAAGACCAGATGCCATGTGCATATAAGACCTCATTCACTGCATATGTGTACACACTACCAAATCAGACCATCACAGCCTGCTGTTACACTTAATGTGTTAATGACAACGAAAATCACTTAGAAGTTTATGAATAGCAGTTGAGTGAGTAGTGCTTTCATTTTGTTGTGACAAAGAAACATATTTCATAAAGGCAAAATAAAAGACAAAAAATTAAATTACAATTCATAACATTGGTGTTACAACTAGGCTCTGCATCATAAAATGAAAATCCACTGTTAAAAGTTGAAATGGAGATTTATTTTATAGCCATTTGTGCATAAAAGGGATGCTAGCTTATAATTTCTTATCTTTACTGACATTATTTAAATGGGAATACATATATTCAAGTGAAGTGACATATTTTTGAAGACAATCAGAAGTATGATTCTAGTTCAGTAGGAAAATTTAGGTTAGAGTACAGATCTCTAGGGATGCTTCAGATTCACTATAAACTAGGCTAATGGTGACAACTGATTTTCACAACATGGATGTCCTCAGTTATGTCACAGATACCCACTGCTCAATGCTTTCTCACTACAGTGACTTTTGGCCTCTGTGTATTTCAGATTCATATCGCTTAGCTAGATATTTGAGAGTTGGCTCTCAGTGGGTGATTATCTGCAGTGTTTGTCTAGTCAGGAGGAAGTCATGATTTTATTACTTAAGAAAACACACATTAAGTATATTATTCAGGGTGTCCCCTAAAAAGAGAACTAACAGGGTGCATATAGATATAGAAAGAGTTTTATTAGAAATGACCTTTTGTGATATTACAGAATGATGAGAACCCTAGATATACAAAGACCCAGTTCTACAGTTCTGGCCCCAATTCAACGATCTGAGACCCCGTGTATGCGTTCATTCCAACCAAAACCCTGAGACATTGAAGTCATAAAAAAGTCTATGCTTCAGGTCAAATCCAAGTCTAGGTGCAGGAGAAAATGAATTCCTCAATTCAAAGGCAAAGGAGACTGTCCCTTCTCAGAAGTCCGGCTTTTTATTTTCCCAAAATCTATACCTGACTAGACTCACCCCCTTCCTCCTTGAAAAATTAGGTCTGTTGATGTGTTTTCCTCAGTCTACTGAATCAAATGTCAATCACGTACAGAATTGCTAACAGACACATTAAAATCATGTTTAACCAAGTGTCTGAGCACCTCCTAGATGGGATAAACTGACATATTTACTTTACCATCATGCTGAGCTATGAAGGAGCCCTTGTTATACACCACGCAGGAAGGCTGACATAGTAACCAAGAAAACAAAAAGTACTTTTCTTCCTATTGAGAAATGAGAGGTAACACTTTTCAGTGGTTATTATGACAGAATTTAGAAGGAAGGAGCTTTTATTCTCTCTATTTTACTGCTACCACCTGTCATCTCCAATAACTTAAACAAACTAGAAACAGCCTTAATCTGTTTTCTCTAGAGTCAAATGGATAAAATTTTAATGCTATTGTGATGTTTAATTGTGTGATATATCACATATGCATACTAAGAGAACTTTCATGCTTTATATATGTCATATATAAGTAAAACAATGTTATTTAAAATATAATATCATGATCCTTTAAAACATTAAAATTCCCACCTCCAGTAAAATACTTCCTCCCATAATATCACACCTCCTAAACCCCTCGAACATTTCCACCAAGTAGTAAATAATCAAAAGCCCAAGACTATTAGGGAACTCTCATTCAAGCCTCTGTATAGGGGTGGAGGGGAATGAAAGTACACAATTGAAGGTGTGTTTTCTCTTATGAGCCTCAGAAAAATAGAGCCTTTCTTTATCACATCTATATGTCTAGACTCTGTGTGTGTGTGTCTCAAAAAGAAAGAAAAGAAAAAATGAAGGAAAGAGAAAGAACAAAAGAAAGGAGGAAAAGAAGGAAGGAAAAAAGAAAGACCACCTAATACATCATCGAAACAGAATTACTGACCCATTTGCATAGCTATGCACAAACCCAGAGTATTTGTTCCAAATTTATTGCAGTATGATTGATTATTAAAAATTTAATACATTGGGGCTGGAAAGATGGCTCAGAGGTTAAGGACACTGACTGTTCTTCCAGAGGTCCTGAGTTCAATTCCCAGCAACCACATGGTGGCTCACAGCCATCTATAATGAGATCTGGTGCCCTCTTCTGGCATGCAGGCATACATGGAGGCAGAACACTGTATTGTATATGAAATAAATAAAATATAAAAAATTAATACATTT